ATTGACCAGAATGATAGTGATTAAGTTAGTAAGAAATGTTTGGGTTCTAATTATCTGAAAATGCACCAGAACAATAAGGTGAATCAATGGATACATAGAAGGATGTATAAATGGCTAGATCTATGGGAATTGGGTATAATAATAGTAGAATCTGAGTGGTGATATATGAGTGTTTACTGTAAAATTCTTTCAGCTTTGCTGAATGTTTGGAAATGCTCATAATAAAATGTTGGAGGGGAAAAAAACCTCAAACACACACCCAGACACCCAAAATAGTTGATCTCAGGATAGACTTCCAAGTGTTCACTAACTCAAGTTAAATATAGGCTATGTGAACGAATCAGGAATGATTACTACTGTAGGATCATGAAAAAGTGTGAGAATAGCAGAGTATTTTCATGTACTAAAATGGAAATGACAACAAAGAGAAGCAGATTGTATCATGGGCTTGAGTTTGAAATGTCCTCATTATACAGGAAGCAAAGACGTCAAGTAGCTGGGAGATACACACTGCTGCGGGCATTGGAGATATGACAGTATACTGAAAACCCAAGTTCTGTCCTCATGAATCATATATTCCTCCACGTCGTGATCAGAAAAATTTGAGAAGCATCGGCATAAACACATATTTAAAACTTGTAAAATTAGATGCAAGATCCCCATGATTAGTTGCAAATAGAAAACACAACACTAACATCTGAGGCCTAGGTTACCCCAACTCTGTTCTGAGTTAGTGACCGGTATTTTGGGTGAGTACGCTAGTTTGGAGATGCCATATTCCATCTCTATTATGGCATAGCACATGGATAATGCATTAAAAGTGTTCATCAGAATTTCTCCTTCAACAACTATGTGTAATTATTCATTTATTCTATAGGTAATAATTTTTTAAAAAGAAGAAGCATGTCAATACCTATGTCGATGTATTAAGTTTGATAGATTTCCACCTAGAGACAGTTTAAGAAACAGAATAATACTTTTCTTTAAAAATAAATCAATGAAATGACAATCTATAAGCTTCCATTTGCTGCTTGAATTCAGACCTGGATGCTTCTGCTTGTCTAACCTAGAAGGAGAGAGGATCTAGGTAATACAACTTTGCATAAAGTTATACGAGCTATTGTAAAAGAAAAGTGAGGAAGATAAAACTGCCATTCTATATACCTAAAAGTAAAATATTATTACTCTAAATATTAACATAGCTCCCTTAAATGCACATCTTTTTCCTTTTTTTAAATGAAATGCACATCTTTAAACCTGCAAGACACACTCTCACCTATCTTTTTCACCCCTTGAATGTTTCCTTATTTTCTCTACCAGTCCTCCCTTCCAAAAAAAAAGAGAATTAGAAGAAAAGGCAAGGGAAAAAGAGTGATAAGAGGAGGAGAAGAGCATGGAGAAAGAGGAGGAAGAGAGGAGAAACACGTAGAATATAACCTTTTTTCATAATATTCTTCAGAAACCAAATAGTACCTGGGAGTACATTTATCTCCTACAGACTGCAGGAACTACTTAAGCAGGGATTACTAGGTTCACACACATGCCTCCCACACAAGCTCCCTTCATTACTGTATATGCACCCACATTTATACAAGGTGCTCATACACCAATAGTTTTTGTTCAAAGATGCTGTTTTATGCAGGCTGTTCAGAGAAGAAATGGCCTGAACCATTTCTGTATATTCGTGACTATTTTTTTTTTTCCTTTACAATATTCGTGGTTAACATTCTAAGAAATCCTTTTGGTTTATGGTCCACGTGTTGCATAGCATCAAAGGTTATTCAAACAAAGCCAATTCAAATGTGGTATGACTGCATAGCTACAAGAACAAATGTCAGGTTACTATGTGCAGCTGAAGTTTTGAAATGGACTACATATGGCTATAATAATAAGCCTGTGACTGAAAGAAGCACTTTAGCAACAAGTACAAACCTATAGAAGAGATTATACGTCTACATGATACACACATTATCTCTATCTCCCCAAATATCATGTGTGCCATTTTCATTAGGAATAGTTCAGTAGTGAAGATGAGAAAACCACTCTCATTTTTAAAACCCCTTCTTGGAGGTATTCTAACATTATGGGGTTGACACAATAGAAAGGACATAGATGTAATTAAAAAGTCTTTTGATTGGTCATATTAGTTCCCCACACATGAATGCAAACTGTATTATTTAAAAATAATGAGAATCTGGAAAACAAAGACTCTACTTAGTGTATTTTCTCCTATATACTGGTAGAGAAAAACTTACTTAACCAATCTGTATCAAATGAGAAAACCTTTAATTACATCCCAAATAAGAAAGTTCGCCTGTAGTTCTCAACCAGCTTAATATTTATTTTCTATAGATTGCTACAGGGACAAAATCATAAATAATATTAGCACATATCTTACATGAAGAGGCAAAACTCTTAACATTTTTCATACACTGTAAAAATGCACATATAAATAACCCACCAAGCAAATTTCAATGCAAATCTATGTATCATTTGTCACTGAATAAAATTAATTTCTCTGTCTAGCACAAGGATAGTCGGTATATCTTTGAAATGATACAGCTTCTCTCCATTTGAAATTCATATGGAGAATAAGCACACACCTCTAAGAAGGATAATGAGCAAGTAGAAACCATAGAATCCTGGAAGGGTAACAAAGCGTAGAGACCCTACAAGCCAACCTCTTCATTAGACATGCGAACGCTGGTCCCAAAGTGTTGAAACAGCCTAGAGGGCAGTGTTGTCCACAACCCAAATTTTAAACAATCCCCAAGGAGAAGCTGTCACCATTCAGAAGTATCCAAAGGCACCCCAATGTCGAACATATGATTTATCTACCAATTTCGTAAGACTCTCCACACTTTCTTTTGTTGTGACATAGCAGATGCTAAATGCAAAACTAGTTTCACACAGAAAGATTAACATTATCTTTTAGGGCTCAGCTCCTCAATCTCGGCATTTCTTTCACTACATTACTACACATTCTGCAGCATAATTGTGACCCAGACATAAACTTCCCCCTTATCCCCTAATGTTAAGTCAGACCAAAGAGTCTAGGTATGTCTATAGGGCAGGAACGGGGCGGGGGGTGGTGTGGAAGAGAAAGAATCTCTTCTCAGGGGAGAGAAATAAGAGGGAGGGAGATTGGAAAGGAGGGAGAGGAGGAGGAGAGAAATGATGTCTGGCTAGTGCTGTTGCAGCAAGCTGGTTAATTGCATTTGTTTCATATATCTCCAAACACCATGGTACATTAATTACATTCAGTAACACCAGCTTTTCTGATTCCCTGTGTCACTTCCAGTGAGCAATTTAATTGTATTCTTCCCAGCAACAGACTGGTTAAAAACAAACAAGCAAACTTGGTTCAAATTCTGTGTTGAGTATATACTTTATACACGCATTTCCATTATTGAGATATGTACATTTAGGATTTATTAGGACATGTTATTTCAAACGTATACCCAAGTCATCTTCTCATGATCATCAAACACAGACAAAAATAGGTAAGCCTTTTTGTTACGGTAACCGTCAATGTATTGAAGAAGAAAATGCATGCAGAGTGATGACAAGATATTACAAATGTTGCTACAGTATAATTCACAATAATTATTTTCTAAACATCTACTACCGAGAAGGGGAAAATAAGGAAGCCCTGGGCAAACATGCTTCCCTCGCCTACTATCACTGGGGGGCAAAGGTGCTCACGTAGACCACGATTGAAAACAGCCACTTGACAGTAAGTAAACTCATCTGTACTGCCTCATGTTTATAGAAAGTCTTCCTTGTTGAGGCTAATGTGTTGAGTTCTACACAGCAGCAGCTGCCAGCAACCAAGTTAGCTACCACAGATGGGCGAAAATAGGCAGCGTCCCAAATAATGAATTCGTCCACAATGCAATTGCTGGAGAAAAGTTTAGGTGGCAACAAGCCATTAAAGTGGCTCAAATATTTGCACCCATACACTGCAGATTGCTTACAAGTTCATTAAGTAATGAAACATTGAAAGTACTACAATCCACATTTCTCAGAAAAAGAAATGCTCTAACCCTCTTGTTACACCAATCTTTGTCGTTGATATAAAAATTAAAGCCCCTGAGAAGATTAATTCCAAACATTCTTCTCACTTTGTCTCTTGAAAACTAAACAAAAAGCATGTTAATAATTATGTCCACTCTTTACTCAAAAGAACGACAAAAAAAGGATTTTGCCATACTCTTACTAGAAATTGACATCCTGTGCAAATATCTCCGGAAACCAAATATGAACAAAAGACAGGAGCATCTGAAGCAGAATGCTTTCTGCGTTACAGACTGACTCCACTGATAGGGAGACACCTAGAGTACCTGTTTCAGATCCCCATTGTGTTTGCCCACTGGGGACTGGGCTGGTGCAGGCGTGTTCCGCTGCTGTCGCCAGCCCATAGCTGATGCTGCCTGCTTCCTGGAGCCTCGCCCAGTCTTACTTTTGACAGTTTTCTCCCTATGATCTAAATTCTTCATTCTGATTTCATGCTAGGAGGGCATTTGTTGGCACACAGGTGATGCCCATTGATTCCTGAGGAACCCCATCTCAAATTCCTAACCCATTCAACCTCTCTTGGAGCGTCTGTAACTCTATTTCTTCACTTGAATTTTTCAGCCAAAGTTCAGACACAAGAGCAAATATCAAACAGAGATCAGGCATCGCAGGATCAGGTTCTCTGAGGAGATTTACTTTCATATTTCCTTTTCTAACGACACCGGGAGCCCATCATTTATTATCCAACTCCTTAATTAAGTAAATTGCAACAGCAGCAACGATAGATAACTTTTCTAACTAACGTGTTCTACTTGCAGCTGTTGAGAAACAAAAGACTTAAAAAACCTTTGCCCTTAAAGAGCCCTTGCTTGTCCAAAATGGACTAAAACCTAATACCATTTTATTTAACCATATCCATTCAGAAAGAAATTATTTTGGGGAGGGGTGGTGAACGAAAAGGATAAAGAGCATTTTTCACTTACCATCAACCCGAACATATAAAAATCCACAGAGCAGTAGTTGTGTAAACATCAGCAGACTCATTTTGACATATTAAAAAGGATCCAGATTGTTTAAGAAACCAATCCCAGAGAGCAAACGTACAAAAATAAGTATCAAAACAAGAGGTAGGTCCAAAGTTCAGCCTTTCCTAGACACTAATTAAAGTCAAGAAGAGCAAATCGCAGGATGAGAAGGGGTTGTCGGAGAGGTCTTGAATGGGGCACATGTAGATTCATCCAAATTAACAGAGGGCACGTCAAAGGCTGCTGTATTTCCACACTCACACTCGGGCTTCCTAAATTCCCACAAATTCTGCCCAGTCGGAGAAATTATTCAAGTGTGTCTAACCCTCTGTCCTTAGGCTCCATTACAATCCAAAGCCAAGTTCTTTCTTCAGAAGTCAAGAAGATGAAGGGGGAGGAAAAAGACCTAATTCCTAGAAAGTGTTCCACAAACTTGCCAGCGCGCTGCCGAAAAACCATTGGCCTGCCCACCGGTCTGCTTTCCCCGTCTTCTCCTCGGCAGCAGCTCCACGTCCGGAGTTAGTTATTTATTTATTTTTTCACTTAACTTCCATAATAAGACTGTGTCAAAGCAGCACTCTGCTGGCGGGCCTCTCCTTTGCAGCCTCGTTGCCTCCCTCCACCTCTCTTGTTTCCAAAAGAGAGGAAAAGGGAAATCAGGACGACTCGGGTGGAGAATCCGAACTCCTACGTGGTGGGGCGGCAGAGAGGGAGGGAAGAAAGGAGGGAGGGAGGGACGGGGCTGAGGTCCTGGCCACCCCCGCGGTGCCGCCTCTGAGCGATTGTGCACTGGGAGGCAGCGGGCGAGAGCGGAGAGGGGCGTGTGCGCCCAGGAGCGAGCGGGAGAGGACAGGAGCGCGCGGTCCGGCGGCCAGGCGCGGTCCAGCCGCTCGCCCGGGGCCAGCGCCGGAGCCCCTGGTCTAGCCGCGGTCGCTGCCGCTGCTGCTCCGGCACCCCGACAGCAAAGCGTCCGCCTCCTCCAGCAGCTGCGGCGGTGGAAGGACTTAGAGGAGGGAAGGCGAGGAGGCGGGCGGGGAGGGGAGGAATGAAAGCTGCTTGGAGTCTGCCCCGGGGAGGGAGGCGGGGAATGAGGGGGTGCGCCGAGCCCTCCACCTCCAGACTCCGCCACCGGCCGGGGCAGGGGGTGACAGCCCTCTGGGGAGCTGGGGGCGGGGGTCTGGAGGGCGGACCCGTCCTAGGGGGGACGGAAAATAACAAATTCAGAGCCCAGCCCCGGCCCCCCGGCTGCCCAGGGCGGAGGACGCCGGTCAACTCCTTCCCCTACTCGGCATCTCCCGGTTCCCCCTCCTTCCCGCCTCAGGAGGGGATAGGTGGGCTCTAGCCTCCGGCTCCTCGCAGCGTCCCATTTAATGGGCAGGTAATTTTCTCGGTGAGTGATTTCATGGAAGCCCTTCCTAATTATTCATCCCTCCGTCTGTCGGAGCTGCACGCGCTTTCTGGAAAAGGATCATCCTCCAGGACCCAAGGCGCAGCCTCATTACCCGTTAAAATCGCACAAACACTCACTCTTCACCTTTTAGCAAAATGAGGATTTGAGCGGGAGAAAGAAAAGGAAAAGATACGAAATTAACCACCAATTTGGGACCGGAAAGGTTGTGTACGGTGCTTGCTATGGTTAAAGAAGCACAAAAAGCGGGGAAGGGAGGAGGAAGAGAGAGGCGAGGCGCTCAGAAATCTCTAACCTCTGCAGGCTCATTTTAGCCAAGATCTATGGCTCCCTGTGGTGTCCCCGGGGGGCGAGTGGGGAACGGGTGGCATCACCTCTTAGGTTACTCAGTCGCATATGATCCCTCACACGTGAGTTCGATGGGGATCGTGGGATGGAAGGAGTTCAGCAAAGATGCTTTGGATGAGGAACTTGGATCAAAGAGCTTGGGGTGAGGGATCCCCGAAGTCTTTACACTCCAAAGACTAGCACCTCTGCAAAGAAATTCGGAAAACATAGGCTCTGATCCAAGAAAGCTGAAAACACAAGTGAGAGAATAGAAAGAAGCACCCAAGAGCCAAATTTCAGCCTAAAGACGACAAAACCTTGCAAATTAAGGCAACCGCTACCACGTGAATGTCATTCACGACTGGGGCTGGTGAAGGAAGGCCAGTTGCATCAACGAGATGCCAGCGTCTGCGGTGCCCCGGTGTGGCTGGTGTGGCCGGGCCCACGTGTGATCACAGGCTTGCTGGTAGCTGTTTGATGCTTGTTGAGTTGATTAGTAGGCGGCTTAGAGGAACTCACGCAGGTCTTGGAGCTGAGCTAAATACTGGATAGTGAGTCTTTAGTTCCCCCTACTGGAAAATATTAGGAAAAGATTCTCTGGATTTGAGGCCGTTTGCGGAATAGTCTTTTGTTTAGAGGATACATTTTGGTGTTCCCAGTTAATTTAGTTCTCCCTTGCCTATTATGGTGGTAATATTGTATGTTTTAAAAAATGGGCAGCAACATCCCAGCAATTAGGAACGTTCTTATGACATCTCAGCATGCTTGAAAAATATGGGAATGAAATAGTCTTGCAAGAGAATAAAACAAGCCACTTCTTGTGAAGCATTAAGAGTAATTTCAGCACACTTTTGATCTACAGTATTTAGTTGTAAAAAACGTGCATTAGTGAGCTGGAGTTACATTACTTGAATTCTCACCGTAACGACTCTGAATGCAGTCTTGCCTTAGCATCCTATTTTTAAAAGGCTTAACTACGGAGAAGAAACAAGCTCACATGGCAGCTTTTCGACATTCCCCTTGCAAAAGGCCAAGAAATCTGAATTGGACTATACGTGCATTGTGGTCGGGTAAAACACCCAGGATTCATTGGATTGATATCTCTTTTAGCTTTCGAAACACTGGAAATTAACTGATAATTCATTAAAACTTTTATTTTAAACAGTTAGACTCGATTTAATGTCTTGGACTACAAAGTCTAGTTTGTTTCTCCAAATAATGCATACTTTGCTCTTTTATGTCAGTCAAATTTCTTCATGTGGGTGAATTTTTTGTTGTTGTTTTTGTTGTTGAGACAGAGTCACACTTTGTTGCCTTTGATGGAGTGCCATGGGGTCGTAACTCACAGCAACCTCAAAATCTTGGGCTCACGTGATCCTCTTGCCTCAGCCTCCAGAATAGCTGGGACTACAGGCACCTGCCCCACCATTGGCTGTTTTTTTTTTTTGTTGTTGTTGTTTGTTTTTTGAGACAGATTCTCACTATGTCACCCTCAGTAGAGTGCCATAGTCTCACAGCTTGCAGAAACCTCAAACTCTTGGGCTCAAGTGATTCTCTTGCCTCACCCTCCCAAGTAGCTGCCACTAAAGGCACCCACCACAAGGCCCGGCTATTTTTGTTGTTGTTGTAGTTGTTATTGTTGTTTGTGGCTGGTTTGAACCACAGGTCCAGGCCAAGTTTGAACCCACCAGCCCTAGTGTATGTGGCCAAGCGCCCCAGCCCCTGAGCTATAGGCACTGAACCGCAACAGCTATTTTTTTAGAGACAGGGTCTCACTCTTGCTCAGGCTGGTCCAGAACTCAAGTAATACACCTGCTTGGGCCTCCCAGAATGCTAGGATTACAGGTGTGAGCCATCATGCCTGGCCATGGGTGAAAATTTTTAGATGCTCTTTCTAGGAGAAATTGAATCTTCCTAGTAAAATAATAGAGGAATTACAAATCATATACAATTGATCTTTGAACAACATGAATTTGAATATATAGGTTCACTTATAAACAGATTTTTTTTCAACCACTAGTAGATTGAAATTACAGTATTAATTAGATGGATGAAAATTTATGTAAACCCAGGGCTGACTTTACGTACATCCAGGTTCCACAGGGTAGACCCCAAGACTTGACTATCTGTACATTTTAGTATATTTGGGGGTCCTGAAGCCAAACCCTTGAACATACAAGGGACAACTACAGACTCATAAGATCTTTCATTTTAAGATAGGTCTTGGAAAGGAAAATATTAAAACATTTCACCTAGAAGAGTTTTCTCATGGCTACTAATATTATCAGGCAAAAGATAGATTCTATTTTATACCTGATAGACTCACCATCTGTAATGCCTTTTCCTTAAATAACCTATAAAATACTCACAGGCAAAAAAAGTGAGTGTTCGAAGCAGAAGGGATAGGTTGGATGAGATTGACCTACCGCCAAATGCTGATGTCTTCTAAGGCAGAAAAATATTTCTTCCTATCTCAACAGGAACTTATCCTCGTGTAGAGTATGACAAATGATGGGACACGGAGAAGAGGTACATTGGGGGACATCTCTTTGGTTATGTTTAATTGGGATGTTTTCCCAAACATCACTATTTCGCATTCATAATTAAATTACCTACTGAAAATGATACAGTAACTCAGTGACTTTAGACTGCCTCACCATCTTTCCTGCCAGACACTGCCTACGATGTGACATAATGTCTGTACCAACAGAATTTTGGAAGCCATGTCTTCCAGTTTTCCTGAAGACAAGTTTATAACCGATTTTTTGAAAGAATGCTTCATCAGTATTTCATCTGATGTGAAATGCAACTAAGGAAATACCATTTTATAAGAATCCCTCCCAATAAGACAGTTTAGCACTCACACTAAATCCCCAACATAGTGAGTTCTCAGTTAGGAATTCAGTAGGGCAAAGCTAAGGGCAAAGGTGCAAAGATACCATCTTCTGAGAGACCTGATTAGATCTGTACTAGAGAAATGTGTGTATTTCAATTAAATGCACTTTTGAGTACTGTCTATGCTAGGGATGAATTTCTCATTCTAAATGTTTAATTATAAGATAGCCTTTAAAACCTGAGCTTTCCAGTAGCAGTTAAAAAATCAATTTTAACAGTGCTTTAGCTTAAAAAAATAATAATACTTGTAAAAGTTTTTCTTTAAATCATAAAGCCAGAAATGGCTTAGCACCATGAAGTCCCATGGCCACTAAATGAGAGGGTCTAAGATACGGAAATTGAATGGGAATTTGGCTTCAGTTTCTTTCCAAATACGAACTGTTTTTTCTTCTCTAAACAAAGACGTGAATAATGTATGTGGAAATCTAGGCTTCTTCTATATGAAACTTGAAAAGGTATTATGGCATACTCAAAATGTGCCCACTAGCTAAATATGTATTTTGAAACTTGTAAGGATGGCTATGTAAAAAGGATTAACATAGACTCAGTTAGGGTAAAGTGATGAAATGGTCTTGTCTTTGAAGTTCTTACTTGGCTTTTCTAGAGAACTATAAAATATCCATGTGAAGGAATCTTCATAATATAGGAAATGAAATATTAATTTATTTTAGATTCTTCCAAGTTGTATAAATTGAAAAACCCTAATCCCCTTCCTTTTTTTTTTTTTTTTTTAACTATTTCCAACATGCTTTTGTTATAATTGCAAGGAAATATATATAGAAAAATCAAAGGTTTGGGCTTGGCCCGTAGCACAGTGGTTACAGCACCAGCCACATAAACTGAGGCTAGTGGGTTTGAACACAGCCCGGGCCTGCTGAACAACAGTGACAACTGCAACCAAAAAATAGCCTGACGTTGTGGCAGATGCCTGCAGTCCCAGCCACTTGGGAGGCTGAGGCAAGAGAATCGCTTAAGCCCAAGATTTTGAGATTGCTGTAAGTTGTGATGCCAGGACACTCTACCAAGGGCGACACAGTGAGACTGTCTCAAAAAAAAAAAT